AAACGAGGAGCAAGACAAGTCTCAGTGGGATTGTATAGAGGCAGCACCTGGTGCCAGACTACCAAGCGTTGACCCTGAGATGTTGCAGAGTCACTTGGAAGGACTGGATGTGTTTAAGTCAGCAGGCCCGGATGAGCTCCATCTGAGGGTAATGAAGGCACTAGCTGATGTCATGCACAGCCACCGGCAAGAATATTTGAGCACTCGTGCATGGGCCAGGTCCTGGAGGACTGGAAAAGGGCCAACTTGCTCCCTATTTTCAAGAAGGGGAGGAAAGAGGATCCAGGCAACTATAGGCCAGTCAGTCTCACCTCCATCCTTGGCAAAGTCTTTGAAAAGATTATTAAGGCTCATATATGTGAAAGCCCAGCAGGAAAAATTATGCTGAGGGGAAATCATCATGGGTTCGTAGCAGGTAGATTATGCCTGACTAATCTGGTCTCTTTTTATGACCAGGTTACAAAACACCTGGACACAGGAGTAGAGGTAGACATCGTTTACTTAAACTTCAGGAAGGCCTTCGATACGGTATCCCATCCCATACTGGTGAACAAGTTAAGAGGCTGTGACTTGGATGATTACACAGTCCAGTGGGTGGCAAATTGGCTAGAGGGTTGTACCCAGAGAGTGGTAGTGGATGGGTCGGTATCGACCTGGAAGAGAGTGGGTAGTGGGGTCCTGCAGGGCTCAGTCCTTGGACCGATACTCTTCAATGTCTTCATCAGTGACTTGGATGAGGGAGTGAAGTGCACTCTGTCCAGGTTTGCGGATGATACAAAACTGTGAGGAGAAATGGACACACCAGAGGGCAGGGAACAACCACAGGCAGACCTGGACAGGTTGGACAGATGGGCAGAAAACAATAGAATGCAATTTAACAGGGAGAAATGCAAAGTGCTGCACCTAGGGAGGAAAAATGTCCAGCACACCTACTGCCTAGGAAATGACCTGCTCAGTAGCACGGGAGTGGAAAGGGATCTTAGAGTCCTAGTGGACTCCAAGATGAACTTGAGTCATCGGTGTGATAAAGTTGTCAGAAAAGCTAACTGCACTTTATCATGCATCAGCAGATGCATGACAAACAGAACCAAGGAGGTGATACTTCCCCTCTATTGGGCGCTGGTCAGACCGCAGTTGGAATACTGCGTGCAGTTTTGGGCACCACTCTTCAAGAGGGATGTGAATAACCTGGAGAGGGTCCAGAGAAGGGCCGCTCATATGGTTAAGGGCTTGCAGGCCAAGCCCTACGAGGAGAGACTAGGGCACCTGGACCTCTTCAGCCTCTGCAAGAGAAGGCTGAGAGGCGACCTTGTGGCTGCCTATAAATTCATCATGGGGGCGTAGAAGGGAATTGGTGAGGCCCTACTCAAGTCGCCCCTGGAGGTCACAGGAAATAATGGCCATAAGGTGGCAGAGAGCAGATTTAGACTGGACATTAGGAGGAGCTTCT